ACCTTTTGAGCTTCAGGAAACGCAGCCAGCGAGATGCTGGGTACGACGTGGCTCTGGCGCCTAGGCAACCTCTGCCAAAGCTCTTCGGTCACGAAAGGCATGAAGGGGTGGAGCAGCCTGAGACCAGACTCGAGCGCCGTGTACAGCGTCTCCTGCGCCGATGCTCGGGCCGATGCGTCTTCCGCTGAAGGGTCCGTGATAGGTTTGATGGCCTCAATGTACACATCACAGAGCTCGTAAAGCCAAAAGTTGTAGACGGCAGAAGTGGCGCTCATAAAGTTTCTCTGCTCCAACGCGCTGTTGACTTCTTTGGCTGCCTCGTCCAGCTTGTGCAAGATCCACTTCTCTGCCAACGACTCTTTGCCCGATACGTGCTCGTCATGCGCTGGCTGGAAGCCGCCTTCGAGCTTGAGCAAAGCAAATCGTGTCGCGTTCCACAGCTTGTTGCAGAATTTCCTGTATCCTTCAACACGGGCAATCTCCAGGTTGATGTCTCTTCCTGCGGCAGTGTAGGCGCACAGTGCAAAGCGCAATGCATCTGTTCCGCACTGCGGGATGCCCTTGGGAAAGTCTTTCTTCTGTCCAGCTTGAGCTTTGAGAATCTCCTTCTCATCCAAGTTGCCCTGTCGGAGCTGATCATGAAGGGCCTGAAGGGGCGCGCCTTGGATGACGTCGATGGGATCGATGACGTTTCCCAAGCTCTTGCTCATCTTCCGTCCATGCGCATCTCGGACCATAGCATGACAGAAAACCTCCTGGAAAGGAATTTTGCCAGTAAAGTGCACACCCAGCATGACCATGCGAGCAACCCAGAAGAAGAGAATGTCCCATCCTGTCTCGAGCATGGAATTTGGATAGAAGTGTCGGAGGTCCGGCGTCTGCTCTGGCCAGCCCATGATACTGAAGGGCCACAAGCCAGAAGAGAACCAGGTGTCGAGCACATCTTCATCTTGCTTAAGAGTGAACCTGGCATCGGGACCTGCCAATTTTCGGGCGCGCTCTTCTGCCTCGGCAAGATTGCGACCCACTACCCACTGGCTGGAATCGTCTTGCTGC